AAAATAATTTTCCACCAGAATTTGGGAAGCATTGCAGTTTTGTCATCTAGTTTTCAGCATTAGCTATTCAGTTTCTAAGGTGTTTTATTCCTGCCTCTTTGTACCTGACCTGTTTTTTATTTGTTTTTCACTTGGGAGGCTTGTGACATTTTTTGTCACCATCACTTTGAAATTTCATAATTTCATCTTTATATTCACCTATTTATTTCATGAGCTTTGTGAACTCTTTCAACCTGGAAACTCAAGCTTTCAATTTTAGGAAATTTGCCTGAGTTGTTGATGATTTCATCCCCTCTTTTCTTTGTTTTCTCTTTTTGGAGCTCCTGTTTTTTTTTTTTAAGACTTGCTGGACTAATTCTCTGATTTTTTAAAACATTTACTCTATTTTTCTTGCCTTAATTTTGCAGCATAGATGTGTAGATTGGTTTTCAAATTTGCCTACCAACAACTTGAGATTTGGTTTTCTTAACAGTTACTTCTCATCTATTTGTCTTTGCCTCCTTTGCTAATCCTGCCTCCTTTCCTGTTTTCCCCAACCTTCTGGGTTTAATGGCTTTAACAGGCCATTATTTATTATAGTTCTAATGAGATTTTTAGAAATAGATGCTTATGTTCAATCTGCCATCTTTATCAGGCATTCCTGAGGAATTTTTGCTGTTAACTCCTTACATATCTGTATTATATAAAATGTAAGATAAGAACCTGCTGGTTAACTTAAAAATTTTTACTTTTATTATTTTTTTTTTTTTGGTGTAGAACATTTATTTATTTATTCCATGGAACACTCAAAGTTTAGATCAGTGGGAATTTTAATCAAAGAATTGTACATTTTCTTCCCACATATATCACTTTGTATTAGGAAATGACATTGTGTTCCATTTCACTACAGTATTACAAAATATTTACAAGAAAATATTAAAAATAACTCAAACATGAAAGGCAAGATGGGGGTGAAATAAACTGGTTTTTCCAGAAATCTCTACTCCAGTGCCCACAGCACACAAGAGAGCCAAAACAAAGTTCCCCTTGATCACAAGTTTCCAAGGAATTGGAGTAGGGGAAGAAACCGGATGAAAATGGTGGTATGAAGGGGGATGGATGTTATTAGCAGCACTGCTTCAATAACCAATTTATTTTGCATGAAATAGCCTCTCTTTTATATGCAGTAAATTCTGAACAAGGCTAAACTTTAGGATATTCCTTGAACTGAAATTAAAAATACCCTGACAGTGAAAGCAATTCTTTCACCTAAGCTGAGTAAGAGCCTCTTTCTCCATGAACAACTGATGTGAACAGAAGCCTGATCTAGCATCCAAAGCTGTCACAGCAGCCCTTCCATCTCTTTCATGAAAGCCTCATAGACATCGTCCTTAGTCTGCACCGACACAGGAACAGATGGGCCAGATTTGGGCGCTGTTTTGGCAAGAGGCACAGCAGAATCATCCTCTGACTTTCTCTGGGGAGCAGCAGCAGCCCCTTTATTCTCTCGACGCACCCGCAGTGCGGTGGGCACGAATCGTGTGATCTCTGCCTTGGGATTAGTGATCTGTGGCTTGGCACTGATGGTTGCCGTAGCTTTCTTCTCGATGGTGGCTGCGCTTGTGTCATCCGCCTTGGGTCGTTGGATCAAGTTGGGGGGAGCACTCAGAACCCCCGGGTTGGGTAAGGGAGCTAGTGGGAAGAGCCCAGGTGGGGCAGGTCCAAGAGGAGGCACCAGAGGTGGGCGCATCATGCCAGGACGGGGTGGAGGGATACCTGGAGGTGCTGGGGGAGGTAGCCGTGGTGGGGGTCCCCGAGGAGGAGGGCCAGGAGGCAGACCTGGAGGTGGGCCTGGAGGAGGGCCAGGCGGCCGACCTGGTGGCGGGCCTGGAGGTAAAAGTCGGGGTAGAGGCCCTCGGAGCCCTGGCATTCCAGGTGGTCTCAGGAACGGAGGAGCTCCTGGAGGTGGTCCAGGAGGAAGGCCTGTAGGTGGTCCAGGTGGCCGTAAAGGTGGAGCAGGTGGCAGTCCAAGCGGAGGTGGTCCTGGCATGGGGGGTGCTTGTATCTGAGACGGAGGAACTGACTGTGGAGGGGCTTGCTGCTGGGAAGCTGCAGACGTGCCATCAGAGAGAGACTCCTCCTTGTGCTGCTTCTGTGACTGCTTCTCTGCTTCGGAATCATCCGACTCTTCGTCGTCGTCCTCTGAAAACTCCTTGACTTCTCGGCCCTCCTCGGGGATTTCCTGCCCTGCCATTCGAAGCATCATGGCTTGGAGAGGAGTCAGCTCCTTCATGTTCTTCTTCTTCTTCTTTCTAGATTTTCCAGGCATATCTGCAAACCGTACACTCAGACCTGATTTTTTTTCTTCATTGTTTTCTCTCTCAGTGTCATCACGGTGTACAAATTCATCCCCTTCACTTTCTCCATCTGATCTGTCACTGTCGCTGTCATCAGTACTGTCGTCATGCTTATCCTGGTCCATGTCTTCAGGATAGCCATCATCTTCACTGGTGCTAGAAACATCATCGTCATGACCCCGCTGAGCAAGTTCAGGACTATATAACATGTCTTCATCTCGTCTACGAGCAGGAAGATCTAGGGCAAAGCCCACTTTGTGGCCATACATTTGTAAGACCTGAGGAGGAGGTGGGCCTGGGGGAGGGCCTGGAGGTTTCCTGCCAGGGGGCAAACGTGGAACGCCATGTCCAAGAAGAGGAAGTATAGAAACTGCCCTAGTTGGAGGTCCATAGGCTGAGGTCTTCTTAAGGATGGAGGGTGGCTGGGCCCCAGGAAGTGGAATGTCCTAGATCAAGATGTTGGAAGGAGCATGCGGCATATCTGGCAGAGGAATACTCTCCACTTCCACATGCTGGGCATTCTTGACAGCATCAAAATATTGGCTAAGTTGAGCCCTCTTCTGTTCATATTCTACTTCTAGCTTTCTCAATTCTTTGTAAATATCTGGATTCTCTTTCTCATAGAGTCGTAGAATACGTTCAGATGTTTCACGTAGCTTTTTACGCTTGTCTTTCAGCACTTTCTCATTTAACTGTGGCTGCTGCACTGGGTTAAACTCCATTTCATCCAATTTTTCCATGTCCCGGATAATTTGTTTGGGATCCTTCATCTTTAAAACTGCAGCTCGTACCATCATGCGCTGTTTTTTCTTCTTCTTTAATTCTCTTTTCCGAGCTTCTTTTCTGGCTTGGTCTGTAGGGTTCATAAATTTTCCACTTTTGGTGGATGACGTGGATCTCCGCCCCATGCTGACAAGTTGTTTGATTTACTCGTTTGTTTAAAAAATAAAACCTAAAACGCTTCTGCTGGACTCCTGGGGCTGTGAGAAGCGGGGAGGGGACGATTCTCGGCCCGTTTGACTTCGTAGGGGCCTTCACCTCGGCCTTTCGGTCAACCACCCAACCACCGCCATCTTGAAACCTCGCGCCCCTCCGCCATCCCTCCGTCCAAAAATTTTTACTTTTAAAAGGTAGCATTATTGACTGTTATTTATGTACCGTAAAATTCATCCATACTAGTTGAACTGTACAATTCAATGATTGTATTAAATTTATAGACTTGTGCAGCTGTCTCTATAATGTTTTTGGAATATTCCCATCACCACAAAGAGTTCCTTAGTATTCTTTTACAGTTCATTCAAACTCCCATGTCCAACCCTAGGAAACCACTGATATTCTTCCTGTCTATGTAAACTTACATTTTCCAGACATTTTATGTAAATGGACTCATAGACCATGTAGTCTTTTGTGTCACTGGCAGTTTTTAAGTTATGTCCTGCACTGGAGGTTCTGTTAGAATCTATGAGGATGCCAAATTTCCTTATTAGTATGTCAAATGTGGTAAAGGCCACTCTCCCACACATAACTCTAGTATAATATTCAACTAAATAAGTTCCTTCACTTATCCCATGTTGTTCTGACATTCCTCTCTCCAGCGGCCTCAAATGGCAGCAGAAGGGGAATTGTCCATGCGTCTGTCTCCTGCATCAGATGGTGAGCTACTTTTAGGACTCACACCATCTTTTTCACCTTTGTACATTTATATCAAAAACATCCATCACAGTATCTTACTGAGCACAAAGTAGATGGTCTGGTCTGAAAATACCTGAAACTGTTGAATTATATCAGTAGCTACTAAAAGATCTCTATTGCTTTTCTGGTTCTGTATTGTAATCATTTAATCTCAATCAAAAATCTCATATCTCGCTATTTTATCTCTTGAATATGTGTTGTAAACAATAATGGTATGATCTTTTTGCCTGGACTTGCCCTGAAACCTGCCAGTCTTGGCCCAGCTTTGTTATAGTTTGCATGGGAAAATCAAGTTTCTGAGATTATAGCAGATTCAATTAGTGGTGCTGGTAAGGGTCATTCCAAGGCAAGGCAGAAGCTTAAGAAAACAGGTAGCATCTGATCTGGGGGAAATCTCATTGCTTCATGAGACAAGGGTCTCCTGATGTTCTGTATCTACAGGTTGAGGTGAGGGTACCTGATAGCATAAGGGATGCAGTATGTTTTGGTAAAGAAGGAAAAGGAGAGGCAAAGACCTTTCAGAACTTCTATTTACTATATCAGAAAGTACTACAGAATTATAATGACAAACTTTGTAAAATTCTGAACTTTTGATCCTTTTCCTACATGTTGTATTTTATCCTCTCTTCAGCACAGAGAGTAAAATTCATAGAAAAGAAAGAAATATGAGCTTATCTTCAGGGTTTGGTTTGGGGTGGGCAGGTAGAGAAGCTGTCAGTTGGTTTCCGCATCCACAGTTAGGCTTTGGGTGGGAAGGAAGCCCTCCAGGGACTGAAGGGGGAGTGGTAGCTAAAAGAAGAGAGGGGAGATGGCTGAGTTCCTGAGGCCGGCTACAGTGGTGGAGGGCTTGGAGGCTGATGTGTGTTTCAGAAAGAGTGTCAGGAGAAGGTTTCTTCTGGGAGATTGGTAACCCTGGTAGTTTAAGTTCCATGTTGGCTTAACCTAATGAATCTGGCTTTTTTCACTGTGCAGAATGTGAAGGCAGTGTCTGAGACCCCCGCAGTGCCACCAGTTTCAGAAGATGAAGATGATGATGATGATGCTACCCCACCTCCAGTGATTGCTCCACGCCCAGAGCACACAAAATCTGTAAGTTTTTGTGATTTATTAGAGTTTGGAGGTGGGGAGTAAGGGATGGGTGCCAAGGTCTGGAAGTTTAATTCTCTGGTAGGGGTCCTTAGATTTTGGAGGTGGTGAAATAACCAAATTACCTTGATTGAAGGGTACTTTCTGTATGATTAAAGACAGGAAGTGGTGTATTTATTTATCATTGGTTTGCAGATATTCCCAAAGTGTCCTAAATAGTTGGTCTTTGTACCAACTTAGCCTTACTTTCTTTACAGACAGGAAGATATACAGAATTAATGTTACTTAGTGTAGAAGTAACATAAATTGTTCCAGTCTCCTAGGAAGCAACAAATTAGCCTGCTGTAGATCTTTTCTTCTCTGTTAAATGTCCAGTGTTCAGGCTCTTAAGACATTATTGATAATACTGAAAGACTCAAGAGAATTTGTTAAAACATTAGTGCTATTAATATCCTGGACATCAGGAGTGCATTTTGATGCTGGATATTGGCAGTGATTTTTATTTAACTTCCTTTGAGGTTCTTGTATTTCATAATAGCCATGGTCCCTTTGCCCTCACTTTGCATAATCTGCATTTTACATGATTTAGCATCACTGAGCACTGATGTATCATTAGGTGATACTCTACTAGTGTTTCTTTGTTTGGACTTTTTATTATGACAAGAATTTCAGAATGAAAGAATGATTTAAAACTTAAACTCTGTGGTAATATAAAAAAGATTGTCTCTGACCTAGAGAATTCATGGAAGTATTCAAGCAGACGTTGGTTGACTGAGTATGGGAGATGCTGTGGAGGCAATTCAAGGGGATTGTGACATTTTAGAATTATAATTTATAAGCAGAATCTGTAGAATCACTGCTTGTGTAGGTTACAAAGTCACTTTAAGGAAAATGAGCTTCAGAATCAGAGTTGTCCAGAGATGTCACATTGGAAAGGTTTTTCTTGATTTGCAAGCATGTTCATTTAAAAAAATTTTCCCATTAAACCATGAATTCATTAGAAGTAGAGGAAATATATATGTGTGTCTGTGTATGTATATGTAGAGGATATATATGTGTGTCTGTGTATATATACACACACATAACACACACATATGTGTGTGTTCGCAGTGCTTAACATAGTTCTTGAAAGGTTTTAGAAAGGCAGTATTGAATGAACTGATAAATTTGATCTTCATAGTAATCCTTTCTAAAAAGATAATGTTAATTCCTAATTTGTAGAAGAAGAGGAAGTTGAGATTTGGAGAGGTAAATTGATCTATCCAAAGTCTCTAAGCAAAATAGCCCAAACTGAAAGCCGGTGATTGACCCCAGGTCCAGGTTATATTCCAGCATAGCACAGTGGCCTTTTTTATATGAGCAGACCTGTGTTGGGAACCAGAAAAAGAGAATGTTAGAGAGGGAAAAGGCAGGGTTCTTCCCCCCAAGGAGCCATGTCAGAACTAAAGGAGGACAAGGCATGAAATTCATGTTTAGGTGCCAGGGATATAGTTTGTTTACATGTACAAGAAATTCAAAAGAGCAAAATGGCTGTCTGAGGAGGCCTTACAAATAACTGTGAAAAGAAGGGAAGTGAAAAGCAAAGGAGAAAAGGAAAGATATTCCTGTTTGAATGCAGAGTTTCAAAGAATAGCAAGGAGCGATAAGAAAGCCTTCCTTAGTGATCAATGCAAAGAAATAGAGGAAAATAATAGAATGGGAAAGACTAGAGATCTCGTCAAAAAAGTCAGAGATACCAGGGGAACATTTCATGCAAAGATGGGCACAATAAAGGACAGAAATGGTATGGACCTAACAGAAGCAGAAGATATTAAGAAGAGGTGGCAAGAATACACAGAAGAACTGTACAAAAAAGATCTTCATGACCCAGATAATCACAGACATCCTGGAATGTGAAGTCAAGTGGGCCTTAGGAAGAATCACCGTGAACAGCGCTAGTGGAAGTGATGGAATTCCAGTTAAGCTATTTCAAATCCTGGAAGGTGATGCTGTGAAAGTGCTGCACTCAGTATGCCAGCAAATTTGTAAAACTCAGCAGTGGCCGCAGGACTGGAAAAGGTCAGTTTTCATTCCAATCCCAAACAAAGGCAATGCCAAAGAATGCTCAAACTACTGCACAGTTGTACTCATCTCACACGCTAGTAAAGTAATGTTTAAAATTTTCTAAGCCAGGCTTCAGCAATACATGAACCATAAACTTCCAGATGTTCAAGGTGGATTTAGAAAAGGCAGAGGAACAAGAGATTAAATTGCCAACATCCCTCTGGTTCATCGAAAAAGCAAGAGAGTTCCAGAAAAACATCTATTTCTGCTTTATTGCCTATGCCAAAGCCTTTGACTGGGTGGATCACAATAAACTGTGGAAAATTCTTCAAGAGATGGGAATACCAGACCACCTGACCTGCCTCTTGAAAAACTTGTATGCAGGTCAGGAAGCAACAGTTAGAACTGGACATGGAACAACAGACTGGTTCCAAATAGGAAAAGGAGTACATCAAGGCTGTATATTGTCACCCTGCTTATTTAACTTATATGCAGAGTACATCATGAGAAACGCTGGGCTGGATGAAGCACAAGCTGGAATCAAGATTGCCAGGAGAAATATCAGTAACCTCTGATACGCAGATGATACCACCCTTATGGCAGAAAGTGAAGAACTAAAGAGCCTCTTGATGAAAGTGAAAGAGGAGAGTGAAACAGTTGGCTTAAAGCTCAACATTCAGAAAACAAAAATCATGGTATCCAGTTCCATCACTTCATGGCAAATAGATGGGGAAACAGTGGAAACTGTGGCTGACTTTATTTTTCTGGGCTCCAAAATCACTGCTGATGGTGATTGCAGCCATGAACTTAAAAGACGCTTACTCATTGGAAGAAAAGCTATGAGCAACCTAGACAGCATATTAAAAAGCAGAGACATTACTTTGTCCACAAAGGTCCATCTAGTCAAGACTATGGTTTTTCCAGTGGTTATGTGTGGATGTGAGAGTTGGACTATAAAGAAAGCTGAGCGCTGAAGAATTGATGCTTTTGAACTGTGGTGCTGGAGAAGACTCGAGAGTCCCTTGGACTGCAAGGAGATCCAACCAGTCCATCCTAAAGGAGATCAGTCCTGGGTGTTCATTGGTAGGACTTATTTTGAGGCTGCAACTCCAGTACTTTGGTTACCTGATGCGAAGAGCTGACTCAGTTGAATGAAAAGACCCTGATGCTGGGAGGGATTGAGGGCAGGAGGAGAAGGGGACGACAGAGGATGAGAAGGTTGGATGGCATCATCTACTCAATGGACATGGGTTTGGGTGGACTCTGGGACTTGGTGATGGACAGGGAGGCCTGGCATGCTGCGGTTCATGGGTTCACAAAGAGTCAGACACGACTGAATGACTGACCTGACAAGAATAGAATATTAAGAAATCACTATCCTGGAGTGATATAGCAATATCCTGCTATTTCTACTAGCAGGAATGGAATGTTCTCTTCCATTTCTGCCTATTATAACCATGTCCATCCTTCAAGATCCAGCTGAAGAACCCCATTTATTTGTTCAGTGATTCATGAAACTTTTACCTGAATGCTTACTTTTTGTTAGAAGACTGGTTAGATATAGAAGCGCAGTGATGAACGACACAGATTCTCTATCTTCATAGAGCTTTTGGACTAACCCAAAAATTTTTGTGATATTTTTCTGAAAAAAGTGATAAATGCCTTGAAGCATCTCTTGCGGAAGGGTGGTAGAACATGTAATCACTTCTTCTGAACCTCAGTAGTATATAGATTGTTCTTTTTTTCTGATATTTGTCCTTTTCTGCCTTGCAGTTAGGACTTTCTCCAAGACTTCCTTCAGAGAAATAGTGGATGGGGCAGCATTTTGTACAGCAAGGCAGAGAACAGATTCTCATTAAATGCTTATTAAGTAAATCAATGGATAGGCAATATAATAATATTAGCTGAAATTTGAAAGCTTAATGTCTCCTGAATGTGATGCTGCTTATTTCACCCATTAGTTAGTTTATTTATGGTTTATTAGCAACTCTATAATTATCACTAACATCGCTATTTTACAGACAAGGAAACTAAAGCATAGAAAAGTTATGTAATCTGCCCAAAGTCATACAAATGGTAAGAATAAGATTTGGAATTTAAGTCCAGGCAGGCAGGTTCCAGAGTCTGTAATCTAAATAACTATATCCTATGGCCTCTTAAAGAAGAACAATTGCAGTTTTTTCTCTGTGAGCATTCAGGATTTAAAGAGGGGGTAACTCAAATGAAGGTAATATTCAGTGTTGTGTTAGCAGTGAAAAGTACTGTAGGAATACAGGATATTCATTTCAGCTTGGGAAAAAACAGAATTTTACAGATGAAGGGGTTTCCCATCTAATGATAGGGTGTCCTTTAAACTCTTTATAGTGAGAGTTGTGTAGCTTATATTGATTATCTTAAGCGCTCAGACTCTCACTAACCCTTAATTGTAAAAAGTTGAGAGCAAGGAAGATCATTCCATTCTCAAAGCCTGGGCGTAGAGGAAAAGTATCATAGATTTTGACCTAGGAGAAGAGATCAGTTTACTGAGATTTGTTCTTCTTTGGATGTTCTAACACATAAATCTAAGAGAGACTGGCCTCACCAAATGTTTGCACCAACAATGCAGGTATACACACGGTCTGTGATTGAACCACTTCCTATTACTCCAACTCGGGATGTGGCTACATCTCCCATTTCACCTACTGAGAATAGTATCACTCCACCTGATGCTCTGACCCGGAATACTGAGAAGCAGAAGAAGAAGCCTAAGATGTCTGATGAGGAGATCTTGGAGAAATTACGTAAGCACTTAGTAGGTTTTTTAATTTCCCTCTGGTATGTGACTGGTTGAGCACAAAGAGAATTCTGTTGCTATAAAGATCTAGGTTCTATGCTAGGTGTATGTCAGTGGCGGCTGTGCTTTATATCTTGCCAGACTGTGCCTCTTCTCATCTGTCCCTACAGCTACCTCCTCTGTCTCACCAGCCCTGATTAGATGCTACATTAGGATGGGAATGTGATGAGAGAGTATGTGAATAGCACACTTCAGAGGCTGGGAAGCACTTGGAATCCATAAGCCATGGAATTACAGGCATGGCTTATGGAGATGACAAATAGCTTTTACTTATGATATAATCTGAAAGTTATGTTGAGAAAGACTGAGGCCTTGTCTAAACCTGGTGAGGAAGGGTGCTATGTTGATTATTGATGTTTCTGTTGGCAGAAGACGGATCTGCCATTTGGTTGTATGAAAAGAAGGAAGGGAAACTAACGTTTTGTGAGCCTGCAATATGTACCAAATGAACATTTATTCCTCATTTTAGGGCTGTGAAGACAGACATTATAATCCTTATTTTTTTCAGTTATTTGAGTCTAGGAATGCTAATACTCTGCAAAAATTCATGCAGCCAAAAACTGACAGATATGGGATTAGCATGCAGCTTGTGCTCCTGTAATCAGAGCATGCTATTTCTTGCAGTCAGGTGGGAACTCCATTTTGCTTTCTTTAGTGATGAGAAGTATTAGGGCAGCTTGTTTCTCTTTTTCAGTAATCTGCAGGAGAATTCATATGAGAAGAAAGGAATGGGTTGGCCTGTAGGCTTGAAAAAATCATCTGACAAGGCTTTTGATTTATTCTTTGAACTTACGTACTTCTAAGGAGGATTTGATGTGACTGATCTGACAAAGTCTGCCCACTGGCATTGCTTTCTAAAGCTGAGGTTTCTGATTCCTCAGCTTAGCGGCTTTTGATTTCATCCTGATAATTCTTATTTGACTTTTAAAAAAATTTTCACTCTTTCCGAAGTTGCCCTTGCCCAGTGTTAGCTGCTCAGTCATATCCAACTTTTTGCAATTCCATGGACTGTAGCCCAGCAGGCTTTTCTGTCCATTCTCCAGGGAAGAGTATGGAGTGAGTAGCCATTCCCTTCTCCATGGGATCTTCCTGACCCCAGGATGGGACCCTAGTCTTCTGCATTGCAGGTGGATTTCTTTAATGTCTGAGCCACCAGGGAAGCCTCACCCTTATCCAGAGCCCTTATGAGATGATGAAATAAGAAAAGCCACTTACCTTGGCATCTATATACTCTTGTATGTATTCTTTTTCTCTGAATCAGATTTTTTTTAGAAACAGCAATACTTAGAACACAGAATTATGCAAAAACAGATCGGCCTGAGAGTTAAGGACCCTTGGGTTGAAGCCCTAGCACAGTCATTAACTTGGGTCTTGGGCAATTTTCTACTGTTCCCTGGCCCTCCTTTTTCTCATCTTTTAAATAGGAATGTTAATACCTGTCTCATTTGTAAATCAAATGAGATAATGTATTTGAAGGGTATCAAATCCTAGTAATTGATATTATTGGAAAGTGCTTTGGACTGGGAGACCAAACCTGGAACTCCTAATCTTAACTCTGACACCAGTTTGCTGTGTGACCTTGAGGGGAAGTATCTTCCCTTTGGTTGGGCTCAGTTTTACCATCTCCAGAACACTTTTTATTTGGAACTGTGAACTTTCTCATACCTCTGTGTTTTTGCACTTGAAATACTTTCTGTTGTAACCCCTTCTTGACTTTCTCTCCCTGGCAAATTCCTCCTAACCCTGTAAAAATTAGTGCAGATTCATTTCCCTTCTGAGGCCTTTCTGGTCTATATTTTTGCTTCTTTCTGTATCACAGCAATTATTATATGTTCATGGAACTTAATACATGGTGTCTGTTTCCTGTATGAGATTACAGCTTCTTGAGTGCAGAGACTGCCTTAACTGGGTCTCATCTGTCTCTTCATTTGTTGCACTCAACCTAGGGCTTAGTGCATAGTAAGTGAGCATATTAAAATGAGTAAATGTTTATTGAATTGATGAACTTAAAAATGAATGAATAACTTTTAGGAGATTAGAAGTGGATTAGGGTACTATTAATAAGAGTGGTAAGGAGGTGAAATTTTTGGTTGAACCTTAAGAGGGAAAGCCAAGCGCCTTAGTGTGGTTTTGGGGTATTGGAGATAGTTTTTTAATCTTTGCTGGCTCAGAGTTGGGGGAACATGGAGCTTGTTTTGTATTGTTGATCTGGGAAAAACTTATGTTCTTTATGTTATGTTATGTTCTTTATGTTATGTTATTTATGTTCTCTGTTTCTTTCAAAGGGAGCATAGTGAGTGTGGGCGATCCTAAGAAGAAATACACACGGTTTGAGAAGATTGGACAAGGGTTAGTAGGCACCTTTTGTTTCGCTAGAAAAGTGACTTAAAATTATGTGTGCTGATATATCTAATTTTGCTTTTGTTTTGCCTCTTATAAACCTTTTTCTTCATTTTCCACCTCACCCCTCACCCATCAAAAGGTGTTTTATTAGGCTGATCTCAGGTTTCCAGAATTATGTTTTAATATGTGAGATGTGCAATTAGCTGACATTGTTGCTAAAAATATCCCTGCACTGAGAGTGCAAAACCCATTTATTTTCTTACTACAAAAACCTTCTTCCCAAATTATAGCTCTGCTTTTCCATATTAACCTTGTTTACCTGGTGCTGAGACTTACCAGCACTAATATGAAATGGAAGACAGAACTTACAGACTCTTCTGCTAGTATAATGGGCCCTGTTTTTCTAGTGGATGACAGAAATCATATCTCTTACTCTCTGGTTCCTTTTCTACATCTTGTATTCTGACCTCAATGTATTGATTCAGCAAAGCTTAGCTGGATCTCTGTTAGATACTAGGTGCCATGGGTACAGCTATGAATCGAACCGTGTCTGCTTTCAGAGAGACCCTCATATCTACAGAAGGAGATAGACAGTCAAACAAAATATTATAATATACTGTGATAAGTCTTAAAAGTGTTTTTAAGCAAGAGAAGCCAGATATAAAAGAGCAAATACTGTGTGATTTTTTTATATGGAGTTAAAGAACAGGCAGAAGTAATACATGCTAATGTAAGTCAGAATAATGGTTGTGTCTGGGAGGATTAGGAAGTAGCATGAGGGAACCTTGAGGGGTTGATAGTGAACATGTAGGTGTGTACATAATGAAAAATCATCAAGTTGTATACTTGAGATTTGTGCAGATTAGGTATGTTATGCCTTTATATAAAAAAGAAAAAGAATGAGATTTCTATAGAGATACCCAATTAGCTAAAATTAAAAAGAAACTGAAAAAAGTATCTGGCTTGTAGAAAGCTCTCAGTGTTACATGAATGAAAACATTATTGTTAATGTAGACCACCAACCTGAGGTGCTGGTCTACAGAGTAGGACCCCAGGCAAGGGAGCCTTCTAAAGTCATTGAAGCTTTCTGTTTTTTCTTTCCTTTTAAATTTTTGATGCGCCAGGGCATCAGAAATTGTGGCACCGTAGTTGTGGCACACGGGATCTTCCTTGCAGCATGTGGGATTTTTAGGTGCGGTAGGGTGGCTTCTCTCTGGTTGTGTTGTGTAGTCTCTAGAGTGTGTGGGCTCTGTAGTTGTGGTGCATGGGCTTCATAGTTTTTAGTACATGGGCTCTCTAGTTGAGGCATGTGGGCTTAGTTACCCTGCGACATGTGGGATCTCAATTCTGCAGCCAGGGATCAAACCCGAATCCCCTGCATTGGAGGGTGGATTCTTAACCACTGGAATGTGAGGGAATTCCTCAGTTTTCTTTCTTATGTACTGAAGAACTTCTGAAATAAGATAAAGTAATGCATAGTATACTGGTGTTGTATTTATACAGTATTCTATAGCTTACAACTGTTATTTGCATCTGTTGTTCAATTTAATCCTCAAAATAGCCCTGGACTTGAGTGGGTCTCCTTTTTCCCTGGTTCAGTGCTTCTGCTATTAGACATGCTTTTGTGAGTCTGACCTAGTATAAGGTAGTTAACACATTGAGAAGACATTATTTTCCTTGCCTCTGAGTAATCTGGGATGGTATTTTCTTTAGCTAATTACACTGAGATACTAAGAATGTAGAAGAAAGGTACACAGACAAGTGTGGTAAGTCAGGTCCTATCTCTGGACATCAGTTTCTTCACTTAAGGGAGAGGGATTGTGGATTCAGGGTCTTTCACCTCCCAAACTGCTGATTATATATCTTAAATATATGCATATGCAGATGTATGTGGCCCATAAATAGGCAGTATCTGCAAAAGGTTTGTCCTTGCTTCCTTGACAGGTCTGCTAGTGCTAAGAGAAGAATGCAGAACTTATGAAGCACCTATGCCGATGTCGCCACATTCCATTATTTTAAAACTATACACGGAGTACTTCCCTGGTGGTCCAGTTGTTAACACTTAGCCTTTCAATGGAGGGGTGCAGGTTCGATACCGCACCCCTGGTTGCAGTTGGGGAACTAAGATCCCACATTTCTCAGGGCCGAAAAACAAAACAAAACAGAAACAATATTGTAACAAATTCAATAAAGACTTTAAAAATAATCCACCTAAAAAGTTCTTAGAAGAAACAAGATGGCAGGGTAGGTGAATGTAGAGTACATCTCTCTCCATGGATACGTCAGGAATACACCTTCAGACAAAGAAGTGCATGCAGAATACCAGCTGAGAGTGGACAGGAGTACCTGACCAGTGGAAGGAATATATAGAACCATGCAAAACTCGGTAGGATGAAGCAACTAGGGGGATAAACAGGAATGTTAGTAGGACTGGACCTTTGGCCAGTGGGGGAACTGAAGCAGGGGTCCAGTCCCCACATCGGGGCAGTTGTCTGAGCCAGAGGAGAAACATTTAAGGCTGAGAGTGAAACAGCTGATCTGTGGCAACCTAAATGAAATGAGAATCAGACAGTCCTTGCTGCAGCCATCCTGGACAGGGATGCAGGTCCCCTGGAAGGCGCAGTGGCTGGGAGTTGTTTAGGGATTGTGGAGCAATCCCAGGATGAGGGCTGCTGTTGACTGGAGAGAGACAGATGGAGGGGATGTGAGGGAGAAGATTGTGGTGGGAAATGCTGGTGGAGGAACGCCAGGCAGCCGTGGAAGCAAGGTGATACTGCTGAGTCACTCATAGAGGGGTGGGGCCATCACCATAGCTTCTCTCTCTACACACGCCAACATCAGCTGCTGAACAGTAGAGAGGCTGGCCCATCAAATGCCTAACATACTGAGCTACAGAGCAGGACCCCACCCAGGTGCCCTTTAAGTGCCTGATGTGCTGGTCTACAGAGCAGGACCCCACCCAGGGTGCCCCTTTAAGTGCCTGATGTGCTGGTCTACAGAGCAGGACCCCACCCAGGGTGGCCCTTTAAGTGCCTGACGTGCTGGTCTACAGAGCAGGACCCCACCCAGGGTGCCCCTTTAAGTGCCTGACGTGCTGGTCTACAGAGCAGGACCCCACCCAGGGTGCCCCTTTAAGTGCCTTACGTGCTGGTCTACAGAGCAGAGCCCCACCCAGGGTGCCCTTTTAAGTGCCTGACGTGCTGGTCTACAGAGCAGGACCCCAGGCAAGGGAGCCTTCTAAGTGCCTGAATGGGTGGAGCTACGGAGAAGACGGGCTTAAGAGGCCTTCTGATCACCAGCTGCAAGAGGCTCGAAAAAAGACTGATAGAGCCATAACTCCTGCAGCAGAGGCAGTCTGTATCCCTGTACACTTGGCACTGCCAGGGTCCCCAAAAGCCAAGCAACTGGATCACCTTCATGCTCAACTCTCGCTGGGGCAGAGCTGCCACAGGCAAAAAAACTCTTGCATCTAATGCGCACAGGATCGCTTTGGTAGTGTTTGACTCTTTGCGACCCTGTAATCTGTGGCCTGCCAGGCTTCTCTGTTAGGGAGGGGGGTTCTACAGGCAAGAATACTGGAGCTAATTGGCCAATACTGGTTGCCATACCCTTCTAGAGCACTATATTTCCTGCTGCCCTAGCCACCAACTCCCCTGAGTACTTGGTGCAGCCAGAACCCCTGCAACCCGAGCAGCTCACCACCTCCACACCTGGCCCTCACGGGCAAGCCCAAGTCCTTCAGAGTAGCCTCAGGAGCAAACCCCAGTGGACGACCCACATGTAAAGGTGGAAATAAACCCACAGTTGAAACCCAGGGGCAAAATGTGGCTAAGGAAGAAGACCCCAAACCTTCCCACCAGCTGTTCAAGCTGCAGATTAAATCCACAGGGTCAACTAGGCAGACTTTGTGTCCGTGGAATATATAAAAGGTCATTGAGAGCTCCCATGGAAGAAAACGGTCTAGTTCTGATGGCTGTGGACATTGGAGGCAAGAACACACAGGAGTAGGACCAGATTAGAATCTGAGCCTCCCCCACAGCAGGTCCAGAGATCAGTACAGTGTTGGAGGGCATCCTAGGGAGTCTGTGACTCTTAGTGAGGGAAAGGACTCTGACAGCAGTGACTCAAGAAAAACATTTATTATTCTTATCTTTTGACTTGTTCTGTAAATTCTTTTGGATTTTTTTTTTCTTTTTCTCCCCCTCTGTTGTTGTCGATTTTGTTGGCACTATGAAATTAAACTTTTGAGCTTTTTTTTTTTCCTCAGTGACATTTTTTATGTTGTTATAAACCTCTGTCTTGACGTTGGGCTTTTGCAGTTCTGTGGAGTTTTCCATTTTTTTCTTTTCTCTTTTTTTAATTTTAATTTTTAAAAAATATTTTTTCTATATTTATTCCTTTGTTTGCTTTTCCTACTGTTCTTTTCCCCTTGCAGTTAATCTTTAATGTATATAAATCTTCTTTATCAACCTCTATTTAACTTTACATATCTATTCTTTCCTTTCCTCTCAATATATTTGTTAGTTTTATTTTCATTGCTTTATTCCCCAATTGGTAACTTGCTTTAGTTTTGTTTTCCAGTTTGTACTTTAGTTAGTTTTGTTCTCGTAGATGTAATTTTGAGTCCTTTGTTTGCCAGGTTAATCTATTATACTTTATTTTTGTTGGATTGTTTTGATTTTGCTTATGGGTGTATATGTATATGTGTGTATTCAGTCACACTTTTTTTTTAATCCTTAAATTTTTATTGGAATATAGGTGATTTACAGTGTTGTAATTACAATGTTCTGCTGTATAGCACAGTGAATCAGTTATACATATATTCACTTTTATGTTTTTTTTTAATTGAAGGATAATTGCTTTACAGAATTTTGTGGTTTTCTGTCATACATCACCAAGAATCAGCCATAGGTATATCCATGTCCCCTCCCTCCCAGACCTCCCTTCCATGTCCCTCCCCACCCCACCCTTCAGCCTGTTGCAGAACTCCTGTTTGAGTTGTCTGA